ATGTTCTGAGAAACGCTTTTTGTGATGAGACGGGGTCATTAGGTTTTTTTGACACAGGAAACATGAAAAATGAGCAATGCCCTGGTCGGGAATCGAACCTGGATCTCTCGAATACTCGCCGAGTGTGCTATCGTTAAACCACGAAGGCATGCAGAAAGGTGTGTATGTGTGTGTGTATTGAGAATACAGCAAAGCACACTAGGGCTATCTGCCTAAGGGAAGGGATGCCTTCGTGGAGGACTTTCTAAGGGAAACTGGCTCGTATATACGTTACACATGGGGAAAATCACGAAAACGCCCATGCAGCCATCGGTTCGAACCTCGGACCGAACTACCAGTGTGCATGCAGAAAGGAGAAAATACCTTATAAAATGTCCAATGGGTTTTGACGTTTCCGACTATTGCTTGACAAGCAAATACCAGTCATTCGAGGGGAATAATGTTAAAAATTACTATTACTTGCATTTATATTATTACACTCATATATAAAATTTCTGCTTTCAGCTTTGTATTTCGATTTTTCAAAATCAATTTCTCCTTGTTTATTTAAATTTCTTTCTCTTTATTTAGTCCAAAATAACTCTGACGTTTCCCTTTTTATTACATTTCTTAACTTTTAAATGAATGTTGTATTTTTTAAATCTGGTAATTTATTTTTGGAATAAATATTTGCATTCAGTTCTATGCCTATTTTCTTATTATTCGTAAGTTTTACCTTGCGTGAGATACGCTACTTTGCACTCGAAATAATTATGCTATCTGATTTCTGACAGAAATAAACTCAGTATCTTTTTTATTTAAATCACATTCATCATATTTCCTATAAAAACAAGAAAATTTTAAAGAGTTACTTACATAAGCTCATTTCTTTTCATCATATGTTATTTCATGGAAATTCAAAAGAGGAGAGCCCATTCTAGTATAATCTGATATAATCAATGTCTGTTCCTCCTCTCAGATGTTACATCATTTTGCTTTGCTGTCGCTAAATAACACTTTTTTCTGTCAGATGATTATTTCTTTCAACGATTTTATTAAAACCATTACAAAATTATTTAATGAACTTGCATCCAGTCTTGTACTAAATTGTAGAAATCACCGATACCACACAGTACAACACCCTCCCTTAGTGTATCTATTAAACAAAACACCGTTTACTGACGTCTTTTGAATACTAGAATATAACAGGAGAGATGATCAATATTTCACTGGAACAAATAAAAGCTACCTGTTGGCATCGGTTAGCAAATGGAAAACGTTAATGTGTCTCCGAATTCTACATCTGATATAAGCTTCAAAACCGAGCTGGGCAATCCGTGTACCACAGGGTTCATCCCATGTACCACATGGTTCTTAGTGAACCTAGATTAGCATAAGAGATTTTATCTTATTATTATAAATGTGCCGTCTACCAGATCTGCATAAAAACATTTATAAATGTCCATGATACTGTTTCCAAACTTTTGAACACTGAGTTTTCACTCGTAGCTTGCAGATATCTCTGTGCTGTTTATTCCGAAGACCTATGTTTAATCTTTTGATGTATTTTCTCAGATCAAAATCTCCCAAAGTATGAATCACCATCTACCAATGTGCCGAGAGACAGTTTTCGATATGTCATGGAAATGTTGAACAGCGCCTTTCCTTATCGTATAATGATGTTCATTTACAGCGTACGGCATTTAATGTTCTCCATCATCAAAGTAGGGTAATATAGTTATTACATACAGCAGCCTTTCATAATCTGTGGTCAGCGTACCACAAATAGTCCTCGAAATCTGCATTGTGCTCCTCATAAGCTTCTAAAAATGCAAAAGGTAATATTAAAATGATAAAAATTATTATTAAAATATTACAAATATTAAAATTAACTGCTATATCATATTATAGCCGAAAACCTCAGAGTTTGGAAATTACACATGCCTCAGCAAACTTTAAAGTTTAAAAGGGAGTCGTAAGCTAGCTATAAAAAAAAGTAGAGCAATCTGTTACTGTGTTATTAACGTATAATATGGACGGGACAGTTAAAAAGACTCCATTAATCAACGGTGCAAGCAAAGGACAAAAAGGCCACATACGTTGTCTGAAGGGCGTCAAGCATTTGCCTGAGACTTATTACAACAATTTTAATGAGACTTATTACAACAGTAGTCTCATTATGGTTTATTTGGTTTATTTAATTATGGCAAAGCACACTAGGGCTATCTGCCTAAGGGGAGGGATGCCTTCGTGAAGGACATACTAAGAAAAACTGCCTCGTATACACGTTACACATGGGAAAAACCATGAAAACGCCCATGCAGCCAGCCCGTTCGCGGGATTCGAACCTCGGACCGAAGTACCAGTGTTCAGCGACTTTATCGCTCGGCCGCTGGGGGGCCTAGTAGTCTCATTAAAACTGTTGAGTGGATTTCAGTGATTTTTCTTACTATGTGGGATAAAGAACTTCAGTAGAAAAAGTGGGGCTTTTGTTAGATAACTGCGCTGCCCATCCAACTTATCCCTTGTTTAGGAACACAAAATTACTTTTCCTTCCTCCTACTACAACTTCCATTTTTCAGCCATTAGATCAGGGTGTTATAAAAGCATTCAAGGGTCATTACAGAAAGGAAGTGGTTCAAAATGTTATTAATGAAATTAATACGACTGATGCAGTTTTTTTCTTCTAAGGAATTCGAGAAGTCGATTTCTCAGCCAGATACCGCGCATGTTATGTTAAATGCGTTAGATAAAGTAACTTCGTAAATGATTTCAAATTGTGTTAAAATTGCCGGCTTGCTTACAAAGCAGATTTCTGGAAACTCTCAAGATGTGCTAGAAGACAAAGGCGACGATGAAGAAATGCATAATGAAAACTTCCTCGGATTATTTGAGAATCGATGAAATTATGCAAACTTGCTACGAAAAGACTAATGCCGAGATCATCGGAATTATGAGAGAAAACGAATTAGTGAAAATGAAAGTGAATCCAAAGATGAAAATCCTGCACACCAACAGTAACAGTGTCTCAACAAGAATTAAAAATTTTGAGAAGAATGCTCGAACTTAAAGGTGGAGATACAGAAAGTTACAATCAACATCATGTCTTGGAGACCCCATTTTAAAAGCTACTAACAAGAAATATGCAACAAACTCGAATGGATTCATTTTTAAATAATGTTTGATATGCTTACATATTGTACTGTTCTGTGTAGCAAGTTGAAATAATTTAATTTTTCTGATTTAAGACAGCTTTTGTGATCCACAGAATAAAATGATGAAAGTATTATATAAAAAATGCCTGTAACGTATATATTAAACCGCATATCGAAAAAGATTATTAATCTCAGCAGCAGGGTGGTATGGAAGGAGAAAGGGGTTTAGATGCGTGCACATTTCATTCATAAAAAATTATTGAAATCTTATATAATAAGTCCCTTTTAAAAATTTTATTTTAAAATCTCCCCTTCCCCGAAGATATCTAACCTGGTATTCCTAACCGAAACGAAATTCTGCGTCCGGCCCAGCACCGCACATAAAACTCAACCGCTCTATACAATCAAATATGGTCAGAACGGACGTGATTATATTAAGCGGTACCCACTGTAATTTTCATAATATTCTGCAGCCATTACTTGGACTTTAATTTTCATTTCACAGGTCTGAACCTAATTCCTCTGCTCTCGCTTGTGATTTGAGTTGAGCGATACGTAAACAGTAGTAACTTAGAGAAGAGATCATCTTCTAGAAGCCGTGCATACTCAGTAAATATAATAATAATATAATACTTATGGCAGTTGCTAAGCTGTACTCAAGTCCGAGTAGACAAATTTCATCTTGAAATTAATTGTATACATCGGTGTTATGCAGGCATCTCAATTCTAGGTGTTGTTTAACTGATACTTTGTTAAAGAATCCATGCTTGGAAGCTGCTATGTATGAACAACAGTAAAGTTACAATCTGTCACTCACACGCTTTAAAGACTCTAATAAGTCTCAGGTGACCTATCGGTGTTCTCTGGCACTTCATTGGACAAATGAAGTATCGAGGTCTTTGCTACATAATGGCTATTACAAAGTTTTGTTTTAAATTTTTACTTAGAACATGAAGAAACACCATTCAAAATACTTATATTTTATGCCTCTATCCAATTCTAAAAATCTATGTAATTTGAACTTAATTCTTCCACTATCTAATTATGCTACATTCTTATTGGCTACATTAGTAAATTATGAAGATCACATTATCTCTAGGCGAATTTTCTGACTGTTCTTTACTTTATGGAAAGAAGAATATTATATTTGATTTTCCGATGCTGTAAAATCCAATAAAATCCTACAGTCAATTTTTGACGCATGGAAGTCAAACTTTTTGTGCTTAATTTTTTTTTACAGTGAGTATAAACTTTTACTAAATCTATCAAATGGAACTGGGTCACCAAAAAAAAAAAAAAAAAAAAAAAAAGATTATTTCGTAATTTTTGTAGTTTTTTTTTTTTTATTTGAAAAGTGCCCAAATATGAATGGCAAATTAAATCATTTTTGTATTTGGAAATATATGTTTACTAATGTTTGCGAAAATAAAGCCCGTATAAGGACTTTTATAAATTAGGCAGGTTCATGTTAAAAAAATCTGGCACGAATGCAGATCTTTCATAAAAGCATAGTGACATAAAACGAATTTATGATTTAAAACGAAAATTGGATATACCTACATTTATAAAATGATATTCTTCCTTAATATTTATTCTCAGCGTTAAATTTCAAAGATGGATTTATATTCTAATAGATAAAATACCTTTAACCTTCCTGTATACAAGTCATTTTAAAACATTCATCTATTCGGTTACGTTTCTTAATGACATCTGTCAATTTGGCGTTCCACGTCTAACCCTCGGGCTATCCGTAAAGCCTTTCGCTTAATTCAGCACTGGGTGCAGTATGAAAGTGAACTTATACTGGTAATAATCAGTCAAATCAGAAAAGATTGACAATTGTAAGTAACGGGAAGAACACCGGTTTATCACATTGTGCAACAAAATTTAATACAGTTAAGAAAACGTTTTCATGGTTTGATAGCCAATTTTGCGTACATTGCTTTATACCTCAATTTACTATTCATTACAATTAATTAAAATTAAAATCAGCTTTCATTGTCAGAATACCGACGCCTTTCAACTGATGAAAAATAATTTACCACTTTGAGAGGCGGAGAACTGGGGGGATACCAGATCCTTCCTTGAATTTGCCTTGCTTGATTCTTTAGTGTCATTTGGCGGTGTATATGTCTCAATAGCTTCCAACACGCAATCGTCAATAAGACGTTGCAATACAGAACAGGGACATAAAGGAAAAGTTTATATAAGATCTTGCGTTGGATGTTGTGCTCCCTTTTAATTAGAATCAGAATTTCACTTAAGTTGAAGCTTGGTGTTTCAGAAATTATGGTTTTCGGAACATGAGTTGAGACTTTTAAATCAAAAATACCGTTTCGTGGATTCGTTAAATTTAATAGGAAAATCCTTGCCTCTATATCGTTGTCTTTCAAATGAGGGAAGTTAGTAGCTATATATTTCGTTTCTGGCCGCTTTCTAGATATATTAAAGTTGAAATTTACCGTTCTGTTTCGGTTATTAGTGTTCTTATTTTGACTCTTGAAAAAAAGCAAACTTTTCTCAACATCCATTTTCTTTTTCAAATAAAGCTTAATGAAGTAATTCAAATCATCATTTCCATTTAATATGTCACTTAAATCAAGAGAATTATTTTTTGTAGTTTTTCGTTTTTGTATATTTTCAGTGTGATTAGTTGTTTTAGCAAATCTAAAAGCATTCTCCTTCTCAGCTTTAAAAATGTAAGAGCCCTTAGTATTATCTGCAATAGAGGACATTAAATCTTCTTTATATTCTTTCACCGCAGCTGCAGAAGATATTTCGAAAAAATTATCGTTTTCAGCTTCAAAAATGGAAGAGTCTTTAGTATCCTCAGTCACAAATGGAAAAATATCAAAGGTATACTTTTCTTTTGGTGTTAAAACGCGTTTTCTTATAAAATATTCATCTTCAGTGTTCAAAGAATAGTCGGAATTTTGAATCACAGTTGGGAATGTATGAGGCCCATGTTTCGTCTTTAAAGTAACAGCAGGTTTTCTGATAAAAGTTTCATCTTTTATGTAGGAAAGAACAGAAGTATCCTCATTTCTTGTAAAAGTGGAAATTAAATTAGATCCATATTCTTTCGTTTTTGGCATGCCAGGTTTTGAAATCAAATCTTCGTTAGTTAATTCAGAAACAAAATCGTTCATATCCTCAGTAACAACTGGATCTGTGTACTGTTGATAGTCATTATCAGTAGATGCGTTATTCTCAATACTAACAATGAAAGAATTCTTGTTTTTCTTCGTGATATTTCGAATTGACTTCAGTCCATCTTTCTTTGTTGTAAGTGCATCAGCATCTAATGCGAAATTTACAGAGGCAGCAAAAAAATTTTTATCTACATTTTCTGTGGAAATAAGAACTAAAGACGCATGATTTTTCTCAATAATTGCAAAAGGTAAAGACACAGAATATCTGTCTTTTAATCTAGGAATAAAATTATTTTTATTATTGACTGTAACATTTGGAATTCTATGATTGATATGTTGTTTCTCTGAAAGTGAGGAGGGAGTTGAGGTGAATGATTTATTTTCTGAATTAGTAATACTTTTTTCCTTTTTCTCAGAATCGTTCCCAAAATTAAAATAATCAGATTCTCTTTCGCAGTCTTCTGTATTACAGGAAGTAATTAAGGTGCTACTCGCCGGGTTCTTTTCATTAATTTTAGTTTCAATAGATTTGGTAGTTTTGCGTCGGAGAAGCGATTTGAGGTGTCGATCAACATGCAACAGCTTTTGAAATTTCCTTTTATTAGAGCTTCTTGGTAGATTCCGTGGAGTAAAGTCTGAAACATATAGGTATTCAGAATAATTAGGCTGAGGTACTTTATTCCTCGTTAAATTTTTGTTCTTCCTCTTGGTTTCCACAGTAAACAATATTTTAGAAATTTCTTTCTTTGGGATTTCGATCTCATCGGAATTTTCATTCTTTTTATTCAGCTCTGAAATTTTTAAATCTATAAATGAAGTAAATCTTTATTTAAAAGATATAGAGTTATCAGTTTAGTTTTACATTTTAAAAATACTAGAAACATAGTAACAAAGAAATAAGAAAACAATATCAAATTAATCTGCAGAGCGCATGCAAACATTCGTGATTGCATATTATCCATCAGTCAAAATGTTGGCCAGAAAATCAGTGATAAGATTTTGACACCATTAAAATGTCTGCCAGAAATCTTATGTATTGCCTAAGGCGGCAGTTGTATTTCATTTCTAACATGATACAATCCCCAGTTATAACAAGGTAGAGTAGAACATAATGACAAATGATTTCAATATGAAAATTTGTACATGGGTAAAATTTAATCATAATAGTTAACTAGGCTCAGTTTTAACCGAAATGCACCAAATCTCGGCTTCAGCTCTTCATCTTTTCTGAAAGAAACCATATTTTTTACAAAAATCATGCGAATCTTCATTCAAAAGAGCACTCTTACTTCTCCCTGTGGATCTGAATAATTTAATAAAAATTGCTCCGCATATTATACAATTTTCTAAGACATGTTAATCCCGAAATACAGAAATTTATTGGAATAAAAAGTTATTTTTCAAAATTGTTTAATGATATTTTGCAAACAATAACTTTCATCCTGAAAGGGGGGGACACGAATAAAAGATCACTTGAAGATTGAGAATTAGGCAGAGTGTCGGGTCAAGTCATAAATGAAAGTTATAAATGAAGAGAAGTCTAAATTTTAATTAATAAGCATACTTAGTAAACTCATTAATTTTATGCTTAATTTTAAATCTAACCAAAAGGGCTAAATTTTAATTAATAAGCATGCTTAATAAACTCATTAATTTTAATTATAACCAAAAGGTAGGGCTAAATTTAATCCTTAATAGCTATAAAAAGTACCGAATAATTCACCTTAAATATTCAGATAAACGTTGCCTTGTGGTTAAATGTTAACACTGTTTCAGTTTCTTTCCTTTCTCTTTTATATATTTTAATATCAAATTTTCATTAAAAATGATTTATCCGAGTTCCCATATAAAATTTTAAACAATTTAACTCCATCTATACATGGAGCTAAAATTGTTTATTGCTTTATTTTCTCTTATATATCCTTACGAAAGTTTCGAGTCCATATTTGTGAAAAAAATGTTCGCAGCTATCAAAACTGTTAGACCTTTCCCAGCACTCTAACACATACATTTTTCTAAAGAGTTTCATTGCAGGAAACAAAACGTGTTTTGCTCGCTGCAACTTTTTCTCATTTTCGCAATTAAAGGAGGTAAAAGGGCCCTTGGATGGCATATTTCCTGCTGAATTCAAAGCTAAAATTTAAAATGATGTAAGAAAACCAAAGTACCTGAATTCTTATCGTTAAAGTTAGTTATGTACATAAATTGAGGTTATTTTCGCGTTAAAAAATAGCTCTTTCTTTATTCAACTATACAAAAACTAAAATTACCCATACTCTCTCAGACCGAAGCCCATGCAGATATTCGAAACATCCACATTATTGGATTGTCTTTTTTCAATTTGCCTAATATGTAGTCACTTCAGGAGAAGTTAGGAATTTTCCTCCCTCCGTTTAAAATTTTTTCTTTCGTTAATCATACTTTATTTTCAAAAAGAAGGTATCCATATCGACTATGCAAATGTCACCAAGCAAAGCGATTTGACATCAATTATGGACAAACAGGGGGTTCCAGCGCACTCATAATATTCTCCCTTTGATGTATTTTTTTCTTGAATTTTGAAAAAACGATTAAAATTCGTCACCAGAGCAACAAGAAGTCGGGTATTTTCAAATTTATATATTCCTACCATCAAAAAAATGTGTATATCAACAAACGCCTCTCATCAGGAACGATTGGCACAAGTATGGCGGGACCTCTGGAAATTTTCATATGATGGTAGCCAACTTTCACGGCAACTGGATAATGCGCAACTGTCCCCCCCCTTCCCAAAATTACGCAGTCACAAAAAATAATGCAATCAGATGCTGCTATAACGAACCCTAGATATCAAGGAAGAAACCTTTGGGTCCCTCAAAGTTATTATAACAAATGAACTTGAAAGCACTATAAAGACCCCCCAAACATGTGACATTTAGATACAACGCTTCTACAGCTTCCTCCGAAGGGATGGACAAATTACATCCATGCATTTTCCAAGATTCCAACCCGGGCCCTTCGGTGCGGCAGTCAGAATCATTAATTATTTTCTTGTCTGGAAGGCGCCTCTGCAAAATAAAATTTTCTGTTTCTAAATATAATAATTTTTTGTTGTTAAATATTTAATAGGCCTGCTATCTTCAGTCTGTCATTGAAGGAAAAAGATACATAGTTTTCCCCGGCAGCAATGTATTTTATCTTCCAAAAAATTTGTGAAAATGGCAGCTGTAGGTAATAGTATGTTGGGGAAAAAAAACTATCTGGAGATGTAATGTCAGCAATTCCAAATAATAATAATAATAATAAAAAAATCACTGTCTGGCAAATGTTTTTTATGGGATCAAATACAGCTTTTCTCTTCGAAATCAGATTTATTCATTGTTGGAGAAAAGAATGCATTTCAACCTGATGGCACGATCAGCAGTTAAACATAGAAAAACTAGCAGTCTTTTATTCTTTATAATTACTTGCTCCGCCATTAAGCACTACACGGAAAAGGCGGAAATTTCCTGTGGAGGTCTTTCTAAGGGAAACTGGCTCGTTACGTATGGGGAAAGCCGCAAAAACTCCCATGCAGCCAGCCCATTCTCCGGGACTCGAACGACGAACCAAACTGCCACTAGCAGTGACACAAATGGTTTCTTCATTCACAACTAGTGGGTGAAGAGCTAGGAGTCATCGACTGGAATCATTATATGAAGGAAATCTGCTCCAAATTCCTGACAAAAAGTTCAGAGTGACAGACTTTCAGCGAATGAAATAGGAAGATACGATAAAAATCTTGAAGACTGGTGAGTCCCTTTTCATAAAACGGAAGACTAATGCAAGAAGAATACTGCAAAAATCACAAGAATACAACATCTTTTAGAGTCCTACCTAGCAGAGTACATATTCAGGCATCATGTGAGCAGTTTCAATATGTTGGGCTCATTATTAAGCAGCAGTTGTTAAACTATGACCACAAGAAAGCGTCTCTTAAAAATGAATTTTGTATTGCTTTCTTCAAATGAATAGCTTACAAAATTGCATTAAGTAATATTTATACAAATTGATATTAAATTCTTTATGTACGTATAAACTAAACTCAGTGGCACAAACAGCCCTAATGGGCCAAGGCCTGCAGTGCCCCGAAATCTGCTTTCTTGACCGTGGATCCCGGAGTGCGTAAGCATATGCCCTGAACAAGGGGTCAGCTTGTCACAGGACTCCCAGCGTTTAGTCCCCAAGCGAACTTAGTACTCATTTTATCGACCCAAGGGATGAAAGGCTGAGTCGACCTTGCCCAGTCCGGGGTTCGGACCCCGGACTTGTAGTGCTGCTGCGCGATGCGCTAGCCATTTCGCCACCGGACGTCTATATACGTATAAATTAAATACTAAATTATGTAGTGTAGACATCAAATGAGACATCAATTTGGTAAACTTTTTTTTTCAATCTCTACAAGGTGGAAACGAAACAGTTACCACTTCTGACCAAGGAAGTACTCCGCATTTTCTCTTCATAGCGTTCAAACTCTAGAGGTAATAAATTTATATTTAGACTTAAATATTCCCTTCGTGTTCTAATTCATCAGAAGGAAATAAAATAAAAGGGATCTTAGAATATTTCACTCAGTCTTTACGTGTTACAAATTTCAATTTCTGGATGTATGTTTTAGATGTAATTGTTAATTTTTCAAGCAATTTTAACTCCGGGAGCAATACAAAAAATATTACTGTGCCTTGTATTTTCTGTATATGATGTTAAAAAAAGATCTATTTTCGATTAAATTATGTTAAAGTTTTATTTCTGTAATGTTAGGATATAAAATTAACGTTATTTTACATCCTTTTAATGCATTCAGAAGCTGCATGAAAATTCTCAAGTAAAGATTAAAATGTGTTTAAACTCTTTGATTAAACACCTATAAACTTATTATTAGAGATAAAATCTCTAAATAAGATTAGTTCCGGTACTTCCTTTTATAAAACTGAACCACAATTTCAAGGAAAAAAAAATAGAATTCCTAACGTGTTAGTTTAACAATAAGCAGACTTTGCAATACTCTATTTCCCTAGAAATACGAACTCATGAGAACATGAGACGTTCAAGTAAAGTCCCATCACTCACATGCGGAAACCTTTCCCTTTAAGAAGGGTAATAAATAAATTTGGGGAAATTAGTTTAGGAAAGCGAATCGTATCTAGTGTATTGTTATCAACCGTTACAGTTAGTTATCCTCGCAGGAAGGAAAATTTGTGTTCTTAAATGTGCGTTAAGTGACAGCGAGTACAGTATGAGATATTAAATATTGATTAAATAACAATTAATAAAATTAATTAAATAGCTATTAATTAATTTGATAATAATTAATTATTTAATCTTAAAATTATTAATGCGTTTAATAGTAATTTTATTTATCTATTTACTCTTGTTCCTCTTCGATGACGGCCTTCCATAGGGCTCCGGCACTTCTAATTTTAGAAATTAAGCCCTGTGCTTATCGTTATGAAATGTTTAGTCATTATCAAAACACAAGTAATATATTATAAGAAAATTAGAAAATAAAGAAAAATAACTGAACGTCATTCAAAGACTTGAAAAATTGCTTCGAATACTCAGTTTGGAAATTGGGTACAATAGCAGTGTTACAACTAGCTTTTTACTTGAAGCTAAAATGGAGAAATGAATATCACCAGTTCGTCATTAAATGCGCCAAGATGGCAAACTGCATCATTAAGTGCACTAAGATGGCAAACTCAAAGGGATTTTTTTTTCACTTGTTTGTTTCAGGCAACATTTTTATCTTTAAAAAATGTAAAATATCTCTCAATTAATATTTGCTTAAAGTTCTTGTCTTTTATAATCTGTGAAAATTTCACCTTTATATAAGCTATATTTTTAGATGTTGAAATTTTAAAATCATAAACATCAAATAATGTAAAAAATCGAGCAATTTTCCAAAATTCACCAAAAATTCAGAAAGTAATTTTCAGTTTTCACGTTTCACTGAAAAGATTTTTTTCCACATTGTTCGTTAAACGAAGATAAATGGGGAAAATTGGTTAAACATCATATAAAAAACTAGTTGGTGGATACCGCTTTGCTCTAGTATAAGGTTGTAGTCACTTATGCATGTTGGTCATTGCTCGAAAAGCTAAAAATTTTATAAGAGTGCTCCCGAGCCTCTGCAAACTGAAGATCAGTTTTTAGCTTGAAATTGATCATTGCCATCCTTAAGCCAATCTAGCGTTTTTCATAAAAGTGCGGGCACCCTATGCAAGTCCAATTTTCGTTTCAATTGCTGATTATTTAAATAATTATTACTTTAAATTAAATAAGCTTATTTTTAATGCGATAAATATGATTTAGATTTCAGTATTTTTAGTACCCGTAATCTCGATACCAAGAAATGTTTTCTGTCTGGATACTTGAAAGTAAACTGGATGAATAATAAAAAAAAAAAAAAAAAAAAAAAAGAGAGCAGAAATTCAAAAGTCGAATTATTTTTATGCCTTCAAAATACTAATATTAATAATAACACTAGCTCCAAAACTGAATTTCTGATAACTAAATAAGAAAAGCCGCTCAAGAAGTGGTGCAAATCAGAATCTCAGAATGCAAAAATTCTGAAAAATAATACTGAACTTTTCGAAGAGAGACAAGAGTTCATTGTGATAGAAATAGCAAATTATGATATGATGAAGCACGGTTTGAAAATCTAAATAACTATATACAGTCGTGGGACGATGCTAAAACATTTGGGAAACATTGAAATGGAAAAAAGAATTAGATGTAGAGGAGAGGAGATACATTGTAATTACTAACAGTAATTTTATTTTTATATTTGAAATCGACACATACATTGACAGCCGAAAGATCAGATGGACTTTTTAAATTACTAGATAGAATGAATGAATAATTGAATATTTTATAGGATGTTAAAGATTTAGTGTAAAACATTTTATTAATGTACGATCTATCTTTATTCCAGGTTCAAAAAGAAAGATTACTTAAAATATAAAGAAAAAAATTTTACATCTTTTTCACTCTTTATCTATATAGCAGTTTGTCATTTCAATGAAAATAAGGTTAAATTTATTGAAACACCCTAACCTCTTCCGAGAAGCATAGGAAGGAATTGAAAAATTGTTGGGGCTGAAGAACACGTCAGCACTCCTATGGCAATCCTATGACTTTCAGAAAGGTGCGGAGGTACAATTTCATTTATCGGATCGTAAAAATCGCGAAACTAATGTTGACGCCAATGAAGCCTAAAAGAATTATGATAACCCTAACTATCTAAGAACGTTTTAGTTTAAATGGAATGTTAATTTTAAATATTACATATTTTTATTATACGTAGCGTATTAGGAAACTAAGTACCGTTTCATTCTAGTGCCGTCGCAGCGCTGTGGTAGGCGTCCTGCTCATGCGCACTAGTCTTTCTCGTTCACTGACTTTCAATTGTCGCCATTTTGGTTGCTCTATGTTGTGTTTTCAGTTTGCTGTGCACATTCAAAATGTTTAAGACAATTAGTTCTCCCGCTGACTGTGAGATTCGTGCCGTGATTAAATTTTTGAACGCGAGGAATGTTAAAACCGGCCGAAATTTATCGTCAAATGACAGAAGTTACGGTGAATACGCGATAAGTGATGGAATGGTAAGAAAGTGGTAAGAATGTTTAATGCAGGTCGAACAAATGTCCACCGCCGAGGCTCGGAGTGGTCGGCCTTCTGTTGTCACCGATGATTTGGTAAGGAAAGTTGATGAAGCAATTCATGAGAACAACGCTCTTCACATGACACAACTCTTTCAGAGCATTTCCACAAATTTCACGTACTGTTTTGTTCGAAATTGTGTCTGACCGCTTGAATTATCGCAAACTGTGTTCCCGATGGGTTCCAAAAATGCTCACTGATGTTCACAAAACAAAGCGACTTGGTAGTGCCCTGACGTTTCTCACGCGGTACAGTGATGAGGGAGAAAACTTTTTAAACCAAATTGTGACAGATGATGAAACTTGGGTGTGTCATTTCACACCAGAATCGAAACAACAATCGATGGAGTGGAGACACACTCATTCTCCGAAAAAACAAAAGTTCAAAGTGACAATGTCATCACAAAAAATCATGTGCACTGTCTTCTGGGATAGGAAAGGCGTTTTGCTTACTGAATTTCTTCCCAGAGGTTAAACCATTAATGCGGCACGATATTGTGAGACTTTAATAAAACTAAGGCGTGCCATTCAAAACAAACGAAAAGGAATGCTCAGTAAAGGAATTGCGTTGCTCCATGACAATGCTCGGCCCCATACTGCTGGTGTCACTCAATCGTTAATTCGACAGTTTCATTGGGAGCAGTTCGATCACCCGCCGTACAACCCGGATTTGACGCCGTCCGACTATCACTTGTTCCTGCACATGAAGCGCAAGCTTGGTGGCAAGCGCTTTGGATCTGACGATCACACGAAAAATGCTGTGGAGTCGTGGTGATCGAAACTGGCGGGAAGTTCTTTGACGATGGTATACAAAAACTGGTCACCCGCTATGACAAGTGTTTGATCATTGGCGAAAACTATGTTGAAAAATAGTTTAAGACATGTATTTTCATGTAAAAATAAAATTGGATTCGAAAAAATTGCTTTACTTTTTTTTTTTTTTTTTTTTTTTTTTTTTCAAACCGGTACTTAGTTTCCGAATACGCCTCGTAATTATTAAAAAAATAATAATAAAACGGCACAAGCGCTTTATTGTTTATGTTATGACATCCACTTTCGGGGGTCCACGAAATTATTTTTGTGGTTGACTGTGGAATGTTCTAAGCCGGCATTTTGCAATTCATCCGGCTTATATGCTTTCTCAGCAATGAGCAAAAATAAGGCTTCCTTCATAATATTCAATAAAGTTTTTGTCGATCAATTTGGAACAACAATTAAAAAGCATTCATTTGATTCTATGCAAAACACGCTGAAAACCAATTGTGGTGAAAGAATATGCCCAAGTTGTTCTTTCTTCAAGTGAAAAGGCGTTCGTCTTCTTCGATAATGTTGTCACATCCACTGATTTTCAATGTAGTCCGAGTAATTAAAACTTTCGCTTGCACTTCGCACATGTAATTATTCCAGTCTACAATTGTATTATAGTTCATCTTCAGCTGTAGTTCACAAAATTTAATTTTAACAATTTTAACCAGCTTACCTGACATAATCATAAGCTATGGAAGGAGTAATTTTTCATTTAAGAGAAAGCTAAGAGATGAATTAAAAGCGTTTATGGAATGTGTAGATGTACATGGAATATGTAATTAAACATTTTAACTCTTAAGTCTGAAATTAGTAATTAAACGCAGAAATTTAACTCTGAAATTGATAATTAAACGTGCTTGGAATTTTACAGACGAATCCTAAATATTTTAGTTCTACGTGAAATTCCTTTTTTTACTAGAAAATGTTCATAATTTATGTAATTAGAATAACATAAATCAAAAACTTCAATAAAGCAAATTGCATAAATCAAAGGCTTCACTAAAGAAAATTGCATCATTTACATTAGCATGCAAATGACAGTCTGATGAAATAGTATTCAACTATAGGAAATTATGCATGTCCAATTAATATTAAATTGGAATTTCAAGTTTATTAATTCTCCATGCTTAAAATCTTAATATGAGAAAGCTAATTTTAGAAATAAATAGCCATCTACTTCTAAAAATGACTTTGGATTGCACACAATAAAAACTATAACACTATTTATAGCTAATAATTAAAATCATTATAATACCTGTTTGTTTTTTATCCTCATATTCATCTGCATAGCTGGAAAGGGATGGACTTTTGCAGAAAACAAAATATTGATAAAAAAGCAAAATTAGTAGCAGGAAGCTTCTCATTTTACACTGATGAGGAAAACACTCAATAATTTTGAATTTTTGATCAAATTTAGCAGCAATAATAATTAAATCTTCACACGATAGAATCAGCTGTTTAATTATTGGCTTGAGGAAACGAGATTATGCTTATTATACTGCATGCGAAGTCAATAGACGAGGCTTCAGGAACTTAATCTGAATCGAATTTGAAGCTAACATTTTTGTACTTCGCACGTTAATTGGCAACCGTATGTTTTTATGGTTCTTTATATGCCACATTTCTGTTTGATTTCTTTCTTAATATGTAATACGTTTTTAATAGTATACTTCCTGCTATATTTCTTAAACGAGTTCTTAGATATAAGAAAAATATAAGTATAACATGAATGGAGAATGCAGTTAAATTTTTGCAGTTAATGAAAATCTTTCAGAATATTTAATATTCCATTATTATTTTTAGAACAATCATTTTCCTCTATATTTTTATTATTATTTGATTTTTAAGTATTTTTTCTATTTTAAGCAAAATGCATTATAACTTATTTAATTTAATGTAAATCCATTCTATTTTGTAATAATTGTGGAAACGTCTTGACATATCCCTTAATAAATATATGAATGTGAATAAATGTATATTCATCGGCAGAACACGTTGCTGTTGTGGCTCGTCTCGCTTGTCTGACTTAATAAGAACAAGCCCACGATTTTTTGTGGCAAAGGGTGCAAGATTGCGTCTCTCATTAGAATGAGCCTTGTGCACCATATAGGTGACAATACGACTTTACATAGTTCCGCCTCAGTTTTGAAGGACAGTACTCTGGGGAACTGATCCGAAAGTCTTCCACCCTTCTTTCTCAATCGTTCAACCACTCAAGAAGGCTTTAAGGTTGTCGCATATTTTGAGTGCCTCCTTGCCTCACATACACTACATATTTAACGTATGAATGTTTATTCACACGTTCTTCGGAATTCGAAACCGGATCCTTCGGTAGAATGAATTTCGTGCATTGTAGCTCTTTCTCTCGCAGTTAGATTTGGTTTCAAAGGTTTATTATTGAATTTCACATTATGAGCGATAAGATGCCTAATCATTTCTTTCTGTGAATCTGAAACGTTAATGAACTTGAAAGCTTTCTCGATAGGAGCCTAAATCTTTGGAATCGAGGGTTTACAAGTTTGTGAGAAGTTAAAATTATATTTTAGAATTCTCTCTTGTTCTTCTGATAAACTAACATTAGAAATATTAACTATTGGCTTAATGTTTACGATGGGAAGATTTTTTGAACTACTTGAACATCTTCCATTGGAGAACTGGATTTTCTACAGGCATTTCGCATTCAAAAAAATCTTCCTGTGCTAGTTAACGATCCTAATTCCAATTCATCTTTGCCTTCGGCCTTTAAAGAAATTATGTTTTAGTTCTGGTTTCATCAACAGATGGCGCCACTAGCTTATTTTCTGTCCAGGCTTTCTTATCTTATCTGATCATTATATTTTATCTCGTTCATTTGCGCTTTTGCAGTTGAGGATGGTGGTTGGATAAAACCATTTAAACTAGTCGTGTGAAAATTTAAAAATATATCCCTGATTTTTGTCAGCCGACCTTAGTCTTGGGTGAAAACAGCGCCACATGGCCGGAGCGACTTTTTATTCCAGAAAAGTTTGATGTCTCCTCATCTGAATAAAAGGTGACTTTTTTCCTTTCGCCCTTATTGAGAGTGAAAGATATCGACCAATCTTCGGATGAAACCGCTCATATTAAATAGAGTTAAAATAATTGTATTTATTCCTTTAAAGAGTGATTTTTATACTTATTTTGTATAAGATGAAATTAATGTATTGTAAACTGTGAAAGTTGGCATTTTCTAATTATGTTCCATTTTAAGCACGAATAGATGATGCGGATGCGATCGAATTCCTAATCTTTTCTTCCGATAATGGACCGAATAGTTGACACTTTTAAATTCGACTATCCGCTCTTGATTTTTAGGTCTATTCAAAATTTCTATTTTTGTTTGAAGAGGTTTCCTTTTTAATGACGGTTCTTTCTTTTCATTCGGCATTGTTATGAGTAAATATTTTTTCAGTTTAATTTTGTGGACAATAAAAATCGCAAAAAATAACTTACGTTCACTATGTTGTTAAAAAATATTCCCTCACTAAAGTAAGAAAAGCAATTCTTCTACTTTTCTTCATCAAAATTGAGAACAAAAAAAGACAAATATAAGGGAAACAAAAGGGGAAAAGCTCGACGGAGGAAAAGAGAAAAGTGCTTTTCTTTGACTGTGTGTGACTGAGCTATCGCGCAGCTAATGTGCACTAGACCACGGGTTCTCAACCGGTGGTACGCAAGAGAAAAATAGGTGGTACGCAAAGAAAAAGTATTTTTAACTATTAAATTGAAAAATCTCGAGAAGGAAAAGAAAAATTGACAGCAATTTCCTGTGATCGAACTTGAACTGAAGATTTCAAAAATAATACACTTGTTAACTTCTGTCTGAATCGAAAAATAACTATAAAGACATTTCAAATGAAGCTAATACATTTTTATGGCCTTTTTGCACAACCTATCTGTGTGGACAAGGATTTTATTTTATGTTATATTTAAAAATTAAATACAGAACAAAATTAAAAGTTGATCCTAATTTACAGTTAAAACTAAGTGAAGTAAGGCCAGACACAAAGAAATTTGTCCCTCTTAAACAGGCCTAATGTCGCACTAAATTTTAGAATTAAAGTATTATAACTTAAATTTTGATAATGAAAATGGCAACCCATTTTTAATCTAAAATATTTTTATGTATGCAGATTTAATACAAATAGTCAATAGGTTGTGCAAATGGCAAAATATATTTATTTTTAATATTTCTATTGAGAAATTGAAAAATAATCATTGTAAAATGTAGTGCTGGTACTTAAGTTTTTTAGTTTTTATTTAGATGGTGGCGTTAGTGGAAAGGTTGAGAACCGCTGGACTAGAGTATCGGTCAACCTAAGCTGAAAACACTGAGTCTAGTAGAAAGTGCTTGTGTCTGCCGTAGGTTACAGTTCTACCATTCCCGAGAAGTCTTATTGTAAAAATTACAATGTGAAATTCAAATATTGTTGAGCGAACGGTAAGAAAAAAAGAATACGTGAAACGATATCCAGCTCTTTATTTTAAAATGTCTTAATATCACGCCAGTCGTTCGATCCCCACCAATAGGAAGGTATCCCCATTTTTGGCAGTTTTGACGAAACTGAAAACTCCAGCAAGCCAGACCTCACACCAGTCTCGCTGAGAAAAGAAATTAAGGGCTCATTCAGTTACTGACAGAGAACAGAAGAAAGCAAATGTTATGCTGAATGATTTAAAAACACTAAACAAACTTCTCAGTAATTTCATTTGTTTTCTTTTTTAACAGTGAATCCAAGTGACACAAATTAAACATACTGTAATTCATATCGATATATTAATCGTATATATAGATTCAACTGCAGCTTCATCGCATAAAAAATTGTTTATTAAATGCGCTGGTTATAGCAAGAAGTCGCCAAATGCGCAGAGAATAGAAGAATGGAACAACCGTGAGCAGTTTGGTGTGTATGAATAACTTGAAAGACAGGATGTGAAAATGTCGTCCTATGTATGTGTTCTTACGTTATATTGTCATCAGGTATAATGTGCGTAACAATGAGTAAGAATACGCGATACTAGTCGAAATTCTACAATAACAGTCTGTCTTCGGCGTTGCTTTATTCTTGCAAACAGTGCTTGTCATGCCGCTATAGGTTTGCGCTAATTTGCGCATTGATAATTTCTGTGTAGGCTTTGGTTAATTTACAGCTTAATTTTAATTAGAAATTCTGTCTTTTGAAGTTACGCCATAGATGCTGGCTGGTTTGTAAGCACAAGGAGTGCATTCTATTCAACTGTTTGAGTTATTAATAGAAAGACCTTTTACACCCTCCTTACATTCTCTGTTTTCTTACTGGACATAAGTCGCTTGGCTCCATTTCAGAGTCTTGACTTAGAGTATGCTTCTCAAAAGAGCGAGACTGTATAAAGTAAGTCTTTTTTTTCATAAATAAACCCTAACTGATGCTTAACAGCAAAATTGTCGTGGAGTCTACTATAGCTTGCTGTGGCGGGTGACGTTCGTACCCGAGGACAAATAACCGGAACCGATCGCTTGCGGGAGGAGACCTGGTATTTGATCTAAGGAGCGGACGCCGGCACCTGACCCAGAGGCTGAATCTGGATATTCATTTTTGGATGAATATCCTGAACCGGCTTGAATCGACCGTGCGCGGAAGGGAAAGGCAGAAGACCCGATGATTGACCGAAGGGCAGGGGTGAGGGAATGAAGATAGGGAGACCTGTTCTCGTCTCCTTCAGTTCAGCATCGGCCTCCTCATGGCGCCCGCTGGTAACTATGTTGGCTGAGGCTTCGGCCTTGGCTAGCATAGACTAACGATGCTGGAAAACCCATCCCTTGGGATCGTTTGGTAGGAATTTCCGGAACCGACCATTTTTGGGAGGAGACCCGGGGTTCTTCCAGACCACTGGCTGGACTTATGTCCGGACAGCTTCGGTTGCTTGGGTATATAATCACTCTTCACAGTGACTAGAACCATCGTTTATACGGTGGTAGGTGCAGGCTTGGCAGGGATCGTACTGACACTGTCGTGTCTGTGACCTTGGATGTTCTCATGTAGATATTAAGGGATATTAAGGGCTGTCCGGGGGCTGGCCCCGGTCAGGGCTCGGCGATGGATGACGGCAACATGTAAAGTCCCCGTGAGCTGATTGGAAAGTGTGGCACCCGTCTGGACAGTCTCCGAAGACAGGATTTTTATAACTATGTAAGGCATCACAAGATGCAGCCAGGTAATGGACTTCCGACCCTTGGTGCAATATAGCTTGCTGTTTCTAGTTACAAGACAGCTCACCCTTTTCAGGAAGGAATGTTTTTCCAAAATTAAAATAAAAGAAACACAATCTGCCATTTGAATCGTAGCGTTCATTGGACTTCTGTCATGACCAGGACTTTATTAAGACCTTTACAGACTGTAAGCACTTAAAAATTTTGGTGCTTCCACATATGTTTACGGCTGTGTTTTTCACTCTCCCTCTCGATTTTGGTTTAGCTGCACCATGCATTCCATGGTAAAATGAGAAACTTTTTGTGATCCCTTTTCTGAATACCTGAGGACCTTTTCGGGGTGGCCCCTTTCTTTGATGCCCTAAGGACATGCTTAATGGAAAATCCACTCCTACTCATGAGGGTGACTGTAGCAGCTTCTATTGTTCTAGAGCGCTGAGTACTTAGATTAGAGATCTCCCGTTTTAGAATTGAGATTTTCCAGAGCTTTGCTGTTTTCTTTATCTTTGCCCATCTCAACATTTCACACAGTATGGTTTGTTTTGGGGTTTAATTTTTCAAATACAGCAGGCGCCGCTTCATTCCATTACGTTTGTTCAAAACCATTTTGATAATATTAACTGATGAAAAATATATGCTTCAAAATATCAATAGAATTTAATTGTTTTAGTTCAGATATAACTAATATTCTTCGCTCACCTTTCATCTCATTATTAGTAGGGAATCTGAATTTTACCACTTTGTCAGAAAGTTTATCGTATGATATTTTTGAATTTGATAGCAAATATCTTCACTGACGTACCGCCTCTGGTTTACGAAGAAAGTAAGACTGAACATTTTGATAATCTTTTCCATTGAAAATGCAGTAGCTAAAAACTGATGAAGCTATTAAAATTAATTTTCAGAAATCAAAGCTTGCAAAAAACAGTTTTAACTTTTATTATTGACAAAAAATTTATTTAAAAAACATAAAAAAATAAGCTTTTTTAAATATATGTTTGTCTGTTAGCTGTAAACTGTTTTAGTCTTACGATTTTTTCTTTTCCAAATCACTGAAACTTATTAAATATTATTTACATATTTGTGCTGACATATTGTACAATGATCATTTTAATAAAGGAGGGTCCAGTCAGATTTCCACCCTGGGCCTCCATAGCTATAAACCTGCCACTGAATATGTTCAGTCATTGATGCTATATCTCCAATTTTGTCCCATGTTTTGAAGCAAAAGCTGTTTATCAGGTATTTTGGCTCAAAAAAGCAAGATCATCTAGTGATCAAGGTTATCTCTTCGTTATTAGCTTCGTCTAATGATCAAAGCAAGGTCGTGTCTTCATTATTTGCTAATTCTGATTAATCCAGTCGATCTTCCTAATACTTGTAAAACAGGTTCCTCTGTACATGGTAATCTCAAATCAAAACCAAGCTGTTTGGAGACTTAATCTCTTACTTGGCGACAGGTGTCTGCCATTTGGCAATTTCTACTCTCTCTTTTGACCTTCTTTGTCGATATTACTTCAGTTTACAAAATTCAATCTGCGTTATTTTGATAAAACGTAGCCCAGACAGAAAAGTGGCTAGTAAGTCTGACAGCCTTACTGAAGGGCCCAGGTTCGAATCCCGGAGATGGCATGAACGTAAATTGTCTCTCTTCATAAAGAGCAATTGTTGCCTACCTATTAGGTGCCTCCAAAATAAAGTGACCATATCTACCGGCCTTAGTAGTGGCGAACGCTTATGATGGCGAGTGCCCGTCTTTAGCATAAAAGTATTTTAGCAGTATTATCCGAATTGGTGATCCCTCTGAGCTATTTATTTTACATGTTTCCGCATACAAGTGGATGGGACTTTGTCAGTTCGACAAAGGTATCCGAATGGTAGCATTAAGCGGTTTCTATCGTAGTACAACAAAAATTTATTATACCAAGAAAGGTACGCAAATCTCAGATTGTAGTGGGAAAAACGCTTGAACATTTTTAGGTTGAGGGTATGAACTTGCAAATATGGTATCCTAGGATTTAGAAAATGTTATTACATGAATAGAATTTTTAATAATACTGCCTCAATTATTTTATCAGCAATGATGGTTAGCTTTCCAAGTTCTCACAAGTTAAGCTATCTTTCATTGGATTTGTCAATTTTTTCATCCAGTGGGTCCTCAATACTTTGTCGAATTTGTCTTCACTATCACTGAAGAATCTTACTTTACTCAATAACTATCTAAATTCAAATATTCTAGTTTTAGATCACTTATCAGTCTTTCTAATATATTTCACTCTTCTCACTTTTATTGAATGTTTTTAATAATCTTTTTGTGCTACAGAATATGGACTACATTTTTCATATTTCATAGTGTCCCAAATAATTTGGACATAAATATGTTCTAATTGGGCATACAGATAATTAAATTTAGTCTATTTATACAAAATGTAGGTAATCTTAAATTGAGCCATCAATGATATAAGCCATGCTTCTGGTTTGCCCGCTCTGAAAGGATATAAGATCGAATCTTCTTTCGTAGCTTCAAATCATTTAGAACTCTACTATATTTCTTCTTGTTTTCACTGAAAAAAGATGAATTTTAACAAACATCTTTTCAGTTTCCAAATTTGTAGTTGCTATTGTTGTATTCCCGTCACTTTTCCTGTTTTTTTGCTCCCATACAGTTTGAAAAAGAAAGGGTCTCCAACTATTCGAATATAGATTATATCGGTCATAACTTGTGTATTCATGTTTTTCTCAGGAGATATCAATTAAATAAAAATGATAAATTGCACTCAGTGAAAAGCCATACTAATACGTTCTACGTGACGTTTCTTTCATAAAATTTAACATTCATTCACTAGATTTCTTCATAAACATTCCATAGGTGTTTTACATTATAATTATTAGAATACGCTTTTTGTATATTTTACTTTTAAATGCTTTCTTGGCAGAAAAATTATTATAACTACAATGCATTTCAGATATTAATGAAAGTATTTCTGTTCTGTACAAACAACCAACACTGTGGTGTTTCAATTAATTTGGTGTTGCTCAACATGTTCTTTCATAGCGTTGCTCAACATGGTCTCTTACTACTAAGAACATATAGTGAATTTGAATTTCAGAAAGCAGCGCCTCCTTATACTCTGTACCAGGTGAAGAACATCGGGAAAACAAAAGGACGAAAGTAAAAGTCAAGTGACCGCCATCATTCGACAAATAAGGTGAGTTCCTGGTCGAAGGTCCAAATCAGTGAACTGAAGAATCTAGTATGAGTAAAAAATGTTAAGGATGGAGAATATTAGATGGATATTTGTGCTTTTCTCTGGGAAATGAAGAAAACCTAAGAGAGTTGATGCGGTTGTTAGGATGAGTGAGAATTGATTAGAAGAAATTTCTGGCAAGTTTTTGAATATAATCTTGAATTGTATTTACTTTGAGATCACGTTGGATAGACGAATTTGGAATAAACCATGGCGCGTTGATAATCTGTCTGAGTGCTTTGTTCTTAAACATGTTTCTCCTCTTACTTCTTTTGTCTCCCTCCCCCCCTTTTTTTTGGTTACAATGAAAAATTGATTGCAATTTTTTTTTTAAATTCCAATTGCAGATTATGAACAGTTACAGCAAAAACACAGGAACAAAGAACATAGAATAATTAAATTTAAAATATAATAAATCAGTGATTCCTCAGCGCATGAAATTAATTTCATTAAAAAGGAATCAAGTTCAAGGCCTTTCCTTGGGTTCCAAATTCCGCTAGTATAAATGAACCCTGAATTCGAAACATGATAGTTTAACAAATATTTGCACAGATGGAATCCCTGCCTGTATGACGTGTAATGTAGAAGTTATGGATGTAAAGCGCACTGTAATCTTTATATCTTAAGCGGGAAACATCTTTGATAGTTTCTGGCATGCCAGAGAAATAACTGAAAGTTTACTTTTGGACTTATTTGACAAATTTTGAAATACTTCTAATTTTATTTGTTTTTTGGCATGTTTTAGCGCTTTATGTTTTTGACATGTTTTAAAGCTTTATGTTTTTGACATGTTTTAAAGCTTTATGTTTTTGACATGTTTTAACAGCTTTATGTTTTTGACATTTTGACATGTTTTTGACATGTTTTAAAGCTTTATGTTAGTTTATTTTCAAACTGATTTTAAATACTGCATGCTTTTAAATTTTGTTTTGTATGTATTCGTTCCTGTTTTTGCTTGTGCTGGGTGTCTGCATTCTTGTAAATAATCTCATATCTGCAACCAGAAATTCCTGAAGAAGGAAAATACGCCTCGACTTGTCTCGAGCGGTTGTTTCAAACATATTGGTTTGTTTTTTTTTTTGGCATTGTGGGCAGGTGTAATTTTACGCAGTTGATTTTGTGCTTTGTTATTCAAATTCAAGGAAGCCTCTTTTATAAATTAATTTTTACAGTTTCAATGATGAAAACTTCAACGAGTCTTTTCGTCTTCTAAATTAAAAATTTAGTTTTTCATGTATACAGTGAATTTTAAAAGCAACGAACGGTTAGTGAAAATTAATACTAAAACAGAGGTAATTCTCTTATACTTTTATATTTGTTCTTAAATATTTGTGTCTTTCCTTTAAATTCATTTCTATTTAATGATATGGATTTATAAAAACGAATGTTTTATAAATTGATTTATTAGCAAAATAAAAGTTTTTCTCTTGATGAAATTTTCTGTTCTACAACTTTTATTCTTTGTTGAGCTCATATATGCTTAAGTTTGAAAGTTTCCTTTTTTGACATGATCGTAAAAGAACATAACAATGAAAATGTTTCTGCACGATTTATAAAATAAGAGATCTAGTATCACTCAGTTGTGCAAATCTGATGGTGAAAAAGAAAATCAGCTTAATTTGCTAATCCAACTAATTTTTTAAGAAAATATTTCATATTTATATATATTATAAATATTTTCATAATATATATTATTACAAATAATTTATATAAGTGCCGCAGGGCATTTGTAGCTTTGATCTGAATCCTACTCTTTGAACATGAATGGCCTGGCTGCATGAAATTTTTAAAGTTCTGATTGTAACAATACAAACCAATTTCCTGTAGCAACCCAACAGGGTTTAATCCTAGTTTCCAGTGCATACGGGATTTGGCTACTTTTGGTGACTTATGATGAGCAGTAAAAACGGGGCGTATACGATGAGTAGTAAACGGGTATTCAAAGAATATATATAGTTATACATAGTATATACTATGTATATAGTGATAGTATATACATAGACGATCTTTGGGTCATTTTTGGTGTTGGCGATAATTTTCAAAATCACGCTAAGGCTGCACCGTTTACTAGGATTTTACCCCAAACAGAAAAGCATATGTCTCCATCTGCCATAACTTTAACCATATTGCGTTGTATCAGATACAACTTTTTTTTTCAGGCAAGTGTGCAGATAATCAGGAAGCATGGAATACATTTTGCCTATAATTTTACTCAATGAATTTTTTACTTTAAATCTTAAGTTTTCACATATTGCATTTAGGAGTGTTTATTATTTGGCTAATTTCTTTTCCTACTATGTTGTATATTAATGTTACATTTTAGAAAGATAGTACTGAAGTCTATTTATTTTGAGACAGCTGTGTGAAACTAACATTGCAGTGATGCTTTTTTTGCTGTTGCAGTTTACTATTAATTGAGATTCTAAATAATCAACATTTCCAACAATGCTCAAAAATTAACTTATTTTTACCTCTTGACAATAAATCAATTGATTCTACCATGTAAACAATAACTAAATAAAATCTGAAAGCCTTCAGATTTTATATTATGCCTAAGGGACATTTTGGTTGATTTTTACATTATGGTAACTTGGCGTTTTTTTAGCGAAAATTTGCGGACCAACTCTCCTACAGCAATCCTCTATTTTTTTTTTCCCGCCGCCATTTTGTCTTCACGAAGTAAAGACATGTTTCTTTTCTTTTTATCTACTGAACACTTCTTCCAACAATCTACTAGCCGAATTACACTTATGCTAGAAATTTTATCTAACAAAACTGCTCAATCATGACAAATATTCACTGCAAAATTGGGAAAAAGTGCACAATACCATACTTCTTACGTGTTTTCAAATAACACATACACATAAACCATGTACACGCCCGACTTATTTTTACTTAAAAAAACATCCCAGAATTACACAAAAATGGCATTGCGCACACTCTTCACTATATCCATGTACACTGCATTTTTCTCATAAATTAGAAAAATTTCACGAAAATACATGACAATTTTCTGAATCTTTAAACCCGGTAAAAAAAGAACATATATGAAATACCTGATCGCGAAAAAAAAGTTTTACCCTTTCCAAATATGAACATTTCCACATATAAAATAAATAAAATATCCAAAAACTTTTACCTCTAAATCATCTATTATATTATACACGTCACCAACGAATTCATACCGCAAGCATTACAAATACTTAGTGTCAAATATTTAAATTATTTCCATGCACGTTTACTTCAACTTAAACGTATACCAAATTCCTACAAACATAAAATTCACAAAATAACTATCATTTGATTAAAATATCGCTAAACCATGTACACGTCGACTTATTTTTACTTAAAAAAACATCCCAGAATTGCACAAAAATGGCATTGCGCACACTCTTCACTATATCCATGTACACTGCTTTTTTCTCATAAATTAGAAAAATTTCACGAAAATGCATAACAATTTTCTGAATCTTTAAACCCGGTAAAAAGAACGGTTGATCTTTACAATATGGTAACTGGTAGTTTGGCGACATTTTGGAGGCGATAAAGGTTACTGCCTGGGACTTTGGTAATAATGTGAGCAGTACTCAGTTCCGATTACGCATTATTTTGTGTGAGGGAAATGAGAGATCATGGGATATGTCGTGATATTAATGGACGAATTACGGTTCCTTAATCGGAAAAGAGGGGAAATCGGGAAAAAATCTGGAAATTTTGTATTTGGCTTTATTCTGTGTTGTGTGAAACAGTGTTCGTGAATTGTTGGATCCCATGGCCGTAACTAAAGTGAATTCGAAATGGGTATTTATGTATGTATTAATTTAATGTATGTGCTCATTTATATTTTAACTAGTGTTTTTGAATTTAATTATATTTTAATTAAATGATAGTTATTCTGTGAATTTTATGTTTGTAGGAATTTGGTATACATTTAAGTTGAAGTAAACGTGCATCGAAATAATTTAAATATTTGATACTGAGTATTTGTAATGCTTGCGGTATGAATTCGTTGGTGACGTGTATAATGTAATAGATGACTTAGAGGTAAAAGTTTTTGGATATTTTATTTATTTTATATGTGGAAATGTTCATATTTTAAAGGGTAAATACTTTTTCGCGATCAGGTAATTTCATATACGTTCTTTTTACCGGGTTTAAAGATTGAGAAAATTGTCATGTATTTTCGTGAAATTTTTCTAATTTGTGAGAAAAAAGCAGTGTATAGTGAAGAGTGTGCGCAATGCCATTTTTGTGCAATTCTGGGATGTTTTTTAAGTAAAAATAAGTCGGCGTGTACATGGTTTATGTATATGTGTTATTTTGAAAAACGCATAAGGAGTATGGTATTGTGCACTTTTTCCCAATTTTGCAGTGAATATTTGTCATGATTAAGCAGTTTTGTTAGATAAAATTTCTAGCATAAGTGTAATTCGGCTAGTAGATTGTTGGAAGAAGTGTTCAGTAGATAAAAAAAAAAGAAACATGTCTTTACTTCGTGAAGACAAAATGGTGGCGGGAAAAAAAATAGAGGGTTGCTGTAGGAGAGTTGGTCGCCAAAAAAACGCCAAGTTACCATAATGTAAAGATCAACCAAAAGAACATATATGAAATTACCTGATCGCGAAAAAGTACATACCCTTTCCAAATATGAACATTTCCCCATATAAAATAAATAAAATATCCTAAAAATTTTACCTCTACATTATCTATTATATTACAAACCTCACTAACTAATTCATACGTTTACTTCATTACAAATGGTTACAAATACTTAGTGTCAAATATTTAAATTATTTCCATGCACGTTTACGCAAATTACTTTACTTCCACCTTACATTTAGAACAATGCATAAAAATAATATCCTCAAATAATTAAAAATACTAACTTACCTATTCTTCTTCAGAATCTTGATTACGTGTCCGATAATAACTTTTCTTTTCTGTTTCAGGATTTTAAAATCATACTTATAGTTCACACCAAGGTACCAGGTAAAATAAATAACTTAATAAAACATCTTTACTTCTATCTCGCACAACCTTAAGAAACACTTATTACCCCTTTCAATCCCACTAAATACCCATTTCGAATTCACTTTAGTTAGGGCCATGGGATCCAAAAATTAACGAACACTGTTTCACATGACACAGAATAAAGGCAAATACAAAATTTCCAGATTTTTTCCCGATTTCCCCCCTTTCCGATTAAAGAACCGTAATTCGTCCATTAATATCACATGACATATCACATGATCTCTCATTTCCCTCACACAAAATAATGCGTAATCGGAACTGAGTACTGCTCACATTATTACCAAAGTCCCAGGTAGTAACCTTTATCGCCTCCAAAATGTCGCCAAATTACCAGTTACCATATTGTAAAGATCAGCCGACATTTTTTTCATAGAGGATTCAAAATGGGATTTGAAAAATGATATAGACATTCAAAGTCATTTGATGCAAAACACCGTTAGACATTGTAATGTCTTTGCATTGCTACGCTACCACTGTAATACCAGTAAGAAATGTAAAGAATCCTTGTACGTAAAATATCTGTGCTTGAAGATGTGCACGATGTTAATGGAACGCTTTGAAATCATTGAGTTTGTAATACAAAAATTCATTGAAGTTTTACAAAATATGAAATAGATAATAAAACAAATTCCAAATTCAGGCTTCCAGATGTCCATATTCGACTGGAGGACTACATTATTCAAAATTTGATGTCTATGTATCATTGTTTTTTGGCAAAATGAGAAACAGACATACATTCATGCAGATTCTTCATTATTTAATTTCTTTAAATATAACACAGGGCTCTAATATTTAGTGGAAACGATTTGAAAAGTGATTCAGATAATTGATCTTTGGATTATGGTAACTTGGCGGTTTTTGGCAAAAATTTGGCGACCAACTCTGCTACAGCAACCCTCTATTTTTTTTTCGCCGCCATTTTGTCTTCACGAAGTAAAGACATGTTTCTTTTCTTTTTATTTACTGAACACTTTTTCCAACAATCTGCTATCCGAATTACACTTATGCTATAAATTTTATGGAACAAAACTGCTTAATCATGACAAATATTAACTGCAAAATTGGGAAAAAGTGCAGAATCGCAAACTCCTTCCTGCGTTTTTCAAAATCGCACATACACATAAACCATGTGCACGTCGACTTATTTTTACTTTAAAAAAATATCCCAGAATTGCACAAAAATGGCATTGCACACACTCTTAACTTTATCCATCTACACTGCTATTTTCTCATAAATTGCATGAAAATGCAGGAAAATTTT